CTCCTGGACATTTAAGGAAGGTACCTTTTTCCAGATACCCATCTCACCAAGGCAAATAGCTGATCAGTAACATGGAACCCCTCTTCTGAAAGCACATCCCCACTTAGCCTTTGCTGATTGTCATTGTTAGTTTATGAAGGGTTTCTTTCTCACCCATGTAAACATCAAATCCTCATCATAGAAAGGCAATACCTTCATCTAAGTGATAGTAAACATACTTGGAACCTGTAACAGACATGCTGTCACCAGAAGTAGGCATGTCTAAAGGATCAGATCTTACTGAGGCCTAAACCCCTAGACCCACCTAAGGATTGCTGAGGGCCAAAGCACATGACTTGCTGAGGCAAATGCTTTCATCACCACATTCAGGCCATGGAGTCAGCACAGGTTAAGTGACAGTTAGTATTGGATGTCAGTCTGAGCGTGAAAGAGGACATGGAAATACTTTGTGGTAATAGTTATGATGATGACAGGTGCCCCAGTGAACTTCTAGATATTACATTTCTCTGGAGATAGCCAAATGTTCTTTTCTTGGTTCTGAGTCTGTAGCCTCTGGCTTCTCCTCACTTGCCCCAGGACCTAGGGCTCCAATAAGTACCCCCCTCCCCCTGTGTGTGTGTGCACCTATGTGTGCATGTGTGCACGTGTGTGTGTACATGTGTGCACATGTGTGTATGTGTGCACGTATGCATATGTGTGTGTGTGTGTGTGTGTGTGTGTGTGTGTGTGTGTGTGTGTGTATTTCCTGATGTGACTACATATATTCTGAACTGTGAGTTGGATGACTGGGGAGAGGATGAGTGCAAAGCACTGTCAGGGGAAGAAAACCCTGTCATAGTAGCTGTAGTAATGGAACTTAATGGAAGTGTGGAAGCAGCCAGGAGCGCATGTAGCCTGGGGTCAGTCCAGAAACCCCGGGACTTCCATGCCTCCACCTTGTGATTCCAGAGCTGACAGAATATTTCCCCAGGTATTCCTAGCCCCTATGTGATTGTGGGTTAAGCAAGGCTGTGCTCACGAATCATTCCACATTCCTTGGCTCATTTCATCCTTCTGACACCATGCTTCCGAGTCTCGTCACTTCCCTTCTGCCTGGCTTGTGCCCCCTTCCCTTGCTTCCTTCCAGGGTTCAGCCCTCTCCTAATCCTACTCCTTTACATTCTCAGCTTTCTCTTCCCCTCATCCAGTCTCTCCTGAGCTCTTTGAGACTAGGCCTGGACTCTGCACTTATGACTGTGTCTGCCTGATCCAGCATTAGAAAAGCTCACACTCAGTTAGTTGCACTGTCCTGCATAGCCTAGCACTCCTGATGTCTGCTCTGTATCCTCATCCTTGCACACACCCGGAAGAAGTCTGGACACCCTGGCCTAACTTGGTCAAAGTCTTAATATCTTTGTTCATCTAGAACTCTGCCTTACTAGAGAGGATTTCTGTGAGTAGAACTCTGCCTTACTAGAGGGGATTTCTGCGAGTAGAACTCTGCCTTACTAGAGACGATTTCTGTAAGTAGAACTCTGCCTTACTAGAGACGATTTCTGTGAGTAGAATTCTGCCTTACTAGAGACGATTTCTGTGAGTAGAACTCTGCCTTACTAGAGAGGATTTCTGTGAGTAGGTTTCCATCTAACACTCTACTCCTTGCCCTCAAGCTGTGAATTCCCGTATTACCAGACTGCCATTTATTTTAAGATTTATTATTTTAGTTTGTGTGTATGACTGGTTTGCCTGCCTGTATGTTTGTACACTATGTACCTTTATGGTGTCTGTGGGGGTCAAAAGAGGGTATCAGATACCCTGGAAATGGGGTTATGGACAGTTGTGAGCCACCATGTGGCTAGTGATAACTGAACCCAGGTCCTCTGCAAGAGCACCAAGTGCTCTTAACCACTAAGTGATCTCTCTACTCCCAATAACGCTTCATTTTAGTGACAGTGACCTCATTTATGGCCCTAAATACATGATATCACAGAAGAAGTAGCTAAACTTATTTTTCTCCTCCACAGTTGGGGCTTAGCCCAAAGAGAAGACTTGGCTACAAGCTGTCTTGACTTTGGCCCACACCTGAACCTGTACTCAGCTCCTTTCCCTATAACTCTCTTGAAGCTCCCCCGGAACAAACTCCCTTTCTACTGTTGAAGAGTTCAGTAAACGTTTTCCTTTCGTAGTTGTGATGCTGTAACTTTGACACCCTTGAGCTCTTAGTCCTCTCATCTGGGACCCCAGTTATTCATCCTTGAATGTTAAGCCTTCACTCCTGACCTGTATACTTGACATCTACATATGAATCCTATTCCAGAAGCATAGCTTCAGGCAGCTTCTATAAAGCTGGGGTTTGAGCCTACTCTGAGGCTGACTCTCTGAGGATGGGTTAGAGCCCTAAACTTCTTTCAGAAGACTCCTCCTAGGCACAAAGACTTTCTTTTTAGCTTTACCTTGTGTGGGCATTTCATGGGCTTGGAATGCTTTCCTTGGTGGCAAAGGTGTCTTTCTGTTATATGACATCGTATGAGAGGTCTCATATGAAGAGAACCCTATTCTTGAACCCCTACTGACTCTGACATACTTTCTGGAAGAATTCTGATGAAGGTAACTTGAACATTCATTATAATATTTGGTATACAGTAGTCACCTCATTGGATATACCAGGTTCTGTTCTCTGTTTCTGTTTTCCCCATCCCTTTAGTCATCTTCAATCCTTTTTTTCCCTCTGGTCTTGCACCCCTTCAACTGTGCCTTGTAAACCCTTTCCTTCTCCATCTGTCATACCATGCCATACTATTCCCTCCCCACATCAGGCCCTATGCTGTCTGCAGTCACTGGCCATGTAGACCCTCTGTTCCCTGAAGGGATTCAGAGTTGTCGACATCACTGGCATGAACCTCTAATGAAAGAAAGCCCATGGACCAGATAAGGAGTACTTCATACCTCAGATGGTCTTTGGAGACATTCAAATATGAACCCTTGATCCTTCCCCTAATATACAGTCTGCCAATTACCGAAAACTCCACATTAGGATTCAAAAAAGTCTGAATAGGGTTCTCCACAAATTTTCAGTGTGTGTGTGTGTGTGTGTGTGTGTGTGTGTGTGTGTGAAAGTGCTAATGTAGCCGGGCGTTGGTGGCACACGCATTTAATCCCAGCACTCGGGAGGCAGAGGCAGGGAGATCTCTGTGAGTTGGAGGCCAGCCGGTCTCTAGAGGGAGTGCCAGGATAGGCTCCAAAGCTACACAGAGAAACCCTGTCTCGAAAAACCAAAAAAAGTGCTAATGTACAGTTGGCTTTTGTGTTACTTATTTATGTATGATTTAACATGTAGAATGACATCTATACGATCTGTCTCAACAGCCGGGTGTTGGAGATGCATGCCTTTAATCCTAGCACTCGGGAGGCGAAGGCAGGTGGATCTCTGTGAGTTCAAGGCCACCCTGGTCTCCAGGATAGCCTACAAATCAATATAGAGAAACCCTGTCTCCAACCCCCCAAAAAAGTTCTGTCTCTCCAAATGTGTGTTTGTATATGAGTACATACGTAATACATACTAGATATTTCCTATATCTGGTTGTATGGACTTAATTAATGCACAAATCTCTGAAAGGATTTCCACTTAAATTGGCTTAGAAATAAATGGACACTGAAATAAATTAAATATTCACACATCTCACAGAAACAAGGAAAGGAAAATATGTTTTTCTCAAGTATACTTTTTCACTTTATCTCAAAATGAGAACTGGAAGGGTAGGTAACTAGATGGGTATTAGAAAACATTTGAACTGGAGACCATTGGCACTACCCAGAAGGCTACTAGCACCTTCCCAAACAAAAATTGTACTTCTGGTTCCTAAAATTTGTTTTCAGTGTGCCATGAGTACAAATATGCAGTAGCAAATAGGTATTTGATTAGGGATGTGGAGCTTTCTAGTCAACTGTGGTGTCATAGGTGCCAGAAATGCACCCGATTTCCCAGATGTTAGCTTGAAGTAAACCAGGTACATGTGACTTCGATAAAACCCACCTTTGTTTAGAACAGTGGTTCTCAAAATGTGGGTTGCGATCCACTTGGGGTTGCTTATCAGATATCCTACGTGTCAGATATTTACATTATAATTCATAACAATAGCAAAATTACAGTTATGAAGTAGCAATGAAATAATTTTATGGTGGGGGTCACTACAACATGAAGAGTTGTATTAAAGGGTTGAAGCTTTAGGAAGGTTGAAAACCACTGGTTTAGAATCTTATAGAAGTCCATCTTACAGATGGACTCAGTGGCATTGTAGTCACTCTATACCACAATTCTGTCAGTCAATTCCTAAAACACAGCCCTTTGGGCAATTCTGAATCCTTGGCCAGCATTTTCTGTATTCAACAAAGTAGCCAGTGCACGCACTCTGAGGTATCAAGTGCACATGTGTTCTGAGCTGTGATATAACCTGCTGCTTTCCGTTGCATGTCCTCTCCATAAGCTTGGGTGTTCTGTGGCCTGGGATCCTGCTGTGAACCCTGGGTGAGTGTACCCCTACCCCTTTGCCATTCCTCTGCCCCTTCCACCACCTTGTTTTGTAAATATGAGCTGATCTGTTGTCCAGGAATTACAAGCTGTGATATATCCAAAATGTGGCAGAAACATGTATGTTTAATGAAGATGATAGGGTTTCTTTTGTGGTCTACTATACTATATTACTAGGTATCTGAAAGTTATGATACCGTATTAATTTCCAGTTGCCTTCTATGGGAGGGTGTAATAAGGAGCATGACGGGCTCAAGTGTACATTTCTAAATTGATTCTTTTTCCTGTGGTTGTATAACAGTTTCCTCCTGGATTGGAACATCCAATCCCACAGAAAAGCTCATTAAGGAGGAGCAAACATCTCAAAATAGCCTCAGGAAGTCCCCAAAACTGACCATATTCAGTAGGCCCCGCCCTCCCCAAGACTGTATAAATAGTCAAGACTGCTGAGAGTCACCCTTAGACCAGTGGAGCAGCCTGGAAGAGACCAGCAGAGCTGCTTAGGAGCAAAGACCAGTTGAGCCACCTGGAAGAGGCTCAGACTAACTGAGCCACCTGGAAAGACTGCAACCTGTTGTTATGCCTTCAGGCTGTATAGCTTGCTTCGGGTTTCCAGATTTTGTGAGCCATCATTCATACTGAGGTAGGCTTTGGTGACGAGGCTGGCTTTGAGTCATTTCTGCTCCTGCAAGCAACCCCTCACCCATATTCCTGTAAGTAGCTCTGGTAAAATCCAGTTGTTTTCCAAGTTGGAAACTAGTGTAATTGTTACTTCTGTCTGTGGTGGGATCCCTTTCTGTAGTGAGTAAATATGTTGTTTTTCTAGAATAAGTGTGTTTCACAATAGCAGCTGAATGTAAAATGTTCCTAGGAGGCAAATAGAGCAGGCAAAGTAGCAATACAGGAGGCTATAACCGAGACTTAGACACAGACCTCGAGGGTCCTAAGATACAAAGCTCAGGATTTGGACCTGGGCACCCACGTGCCACCTCCTGCTACCGCTCATTTCCTTGCTTCACAGCAGCCTGCCCTGTCCCTTCCTTTATGCTCATTCTTTTCATCCTCTCTTCCTTCTCAAAAGTTAGAACCCAAGGATTCCTAGCAGTGAGTGAAAAGGGAAGGTGACTGTGTCCTGTCCTGCCGATGCTCACATGATGCAAATATTAGGGCTTTTCTGTGTTTAGCATCACCATGAAGACCTCAGCTTCTCACATTAGAAGGATGAGGTCTCAGAGGCTCTGTTTCTTTATCTATACTACCCAAACCTGCAAACAACCAAAGAACTAATCTTTTTAAAAACACAATACATTAAACAGAGTGTAATACAACTTGAGAAAAGATAGCATTCTCTTCAGAAGGGATATTCTGCCCTTCCTCCTGATAGGATATTTAGGAGGAATTAATGGAGTATACTTGGGTCAAGAGTTCTGGGAGGGGGGATGCTGCTCATTTATGAGCCCCTATAGTGTACGCAGGGATCAATGTCCAGTAAGCCGAATATTCAAAGGTATTCTAAATGTTGTTCAAAAATTTTGAGCAGGCATACTCTAATGGAACTCTGCCTGGACCACACCCCTTGTGCATAAAAATGAACCTGTGTGGGGATCTTCTGTAATGTCTCAGTGGGTAAAAGTGCTTGCCTCATGACCTGAGCCTGATCCCTGGATGCACATGGGAGAAAGAGAGAACTGATTCTCCCAAGTTGTCTTCTGACATCCAAAGTTCTATTATGGCACGCACACCATGATACAGGCCCATACACACATAACACATAAATTCAGCAATTAAAAATAATCCTAATCTTTTCAGCTACTAACTCTATGGGTATTTGACAAGGTTTTTGTTTTTAAGGACATTGATTTTTCACATTTGTAAGTCAAAATATTTGCACTACAACTTTCTTAGGAATCTTACTAACTGCCCTAATATCACAAAGCTCTGGGATTCTGTAATTGAAATGGAGAAAGAAAAAGTTTGTGTTTGTACGAGGGGACTGGAGAGATGGTTACATTGATAAGGGCATTTGCTGTTCTTTCAGAGAACTAGAGTCCAGTTTCCAGCATCTACCTCAGGTGCCTCACAACCACCTATGTAGAAGCTGAACTTCTTCAGGGGATCCAGTGCTCCCTGTAGGCACCCACAAGCATGTGCACACAATCAAATAATGATATTTTAAAAGGGGTTGCATTTTTTGTTTCTTTATCTGTAACTTTAATTAACTCAATATTAATTTTTAAAAACAATGTTCAACTCTACTTTTTCTTTTTTTACTAATTATTTTCCCATCTGAAATCACATTCCCCTCCCTCCCTTCCTCCTCTCCTCCCAGACCCTCCCACCAACCTCCCCTCTTCTCCCATCCACTCCTCCTCTTTTCTCTTCCATAAAGGGCAGGCCTCCCATGGATATCAGCCAGCCATGGCATATCAAGTGGCAGTGAGACTAGGTCCCTCCTCTCCTATTAAAACTGGACAAAACAATCTAGAAGGAAGAAAGGGTTGCAAAATCAGGTCACAGAGTCAGAGATAGCCCCTGCTTCTACTGTTAGGAGTCCCACAAGAAGACCCAGCTACACAACTCTAAAGTATTGCAGAGGGACTAGTTCAGTCCCATGGAAGCTCTCTGGTTGGTGGCTCAATCTCTGGGAGCCCCTATAAGCCCAGGTTAGGTTATTCTGTGTGTTTATTGTGGTATCCTTGGCCCCTCTGTTTCCCATAATCCTTCCTCCACCTTTTCCAAGGGATTTGAGGTCCATCTAATGTTTGGCTGTGGGCTGTTTCCATCAGTTGCTGGATGAAGGATTACATTTTCTTTTCCTTTTTTTTTTTTTTTTTTTTTTTTTTTTTTTTAAAAAGGGGTTTTCTTTGGCTTTTGGGGGTGTGCCTGGAACCCCCTCTTTGAAAAAAGGGGGGTTTCCACACCCCCAGAACCCACCCCAAGTGCTGGGATTAAAGGAGTGCGCCACCTATGCCCGGCTACATTTTTTTTTATAAACATGAAAAGTTGCGGTTACATTTATTTATTCTTTTAAATTTATTTGTTTTTATTTTATGTGCATTGGTGTTTGCCTGCATGTATGTCTGTGTCAGTGTGCCAGATCTTGGAGTTACAGACAGTTGTTAGCTGGCATATGGGTTCTGGGAATTGAAATCTGTTTCTCTGGAAGAAAAGTCAGTGCTCTTACCCTCTGAGCTATCTCTCTAGCCCCAGGAATACCTTTTCTTGGTATTTTCCAACATCTCAGCTCACCAAAAACACTTCTTTGAGAATATTAACTCTTTGAAAAGAACTGGGCCCAAAGTTCTTTCATTTTTATTCCCTTTTTTATTTATTTTTTGAAATAGATTTATTATTATTATTATTAGAAACAAGCTTCCTTTACATGTAAATCCCAGTTCCCTCTCCCTCCCCTGCTCCCCATCCCCCAGGGAGGGTGAGGCCTTCCATGGGCAATCTTCAAAGTTTGTCATATCATTTGGAGCAGAGCCTAGACCCTCCCCCATGTGTCTAGGCTGAGAGGGTATCCCTCTATGTGGACTGGGCTCCCAAAGTCCATTTGTGTACTAGGGATAAATACTGATCCAATACCAGAGGCCCCATAGATTAACCAGACATCCAAACTGACATCCTCGTTCAGGGGGGTCTGGAACAGTCCTATGCTGTTTTCCCAGCTATCAGTCTGGGGTACATGAGCAACCCCTTGTTCAGGTCAGCTGTTTCTGTGGGTTTCTCCAGCCTGGTCCTGATCCCTTTGCTCATCACTCCTCCCACTCTACAACTGGATTCCAGAGTTCAGTTCAGAGTTTAGCTGTGGGTGTCTGCCTCTGCTTCCATCAGTTACTGGCTCTAGGATGGCATATAAGGTAGTCATCAATCCCATTACTGGAAAAGGGCATTTAAGGTAGCCTCTCCACTGTTGCTTAGATTGTTAGTTGGGGTTATCCTTGTAGATCTCTGGACATTTCCCTAGTGCCAGAATTCTCTTTAAACCTATAATGGCTCCCTCTATTATTGTATCTCTTATCTTTCTCTCCTCTATTCTTCCCCTGACTCAATCTTCCTGCTCTTTCATGTCCTCCTCTCCCCTCGTCTTCTCTCCCTGTCTTTCTTCTAGCTCCCTTCTCCTTCCTCCCATGCTCAGGAGATCTTGTCCCTTTCCCCTTCTCCAGGGGACCATGCATGTCTCTCTTAGGGTCCTCCTTGTTTCCTAGCTTTTCTGGCGGTGTGGGTTGTAGGCTGGTAATCCTTTGCTCTATGTCTAAAATCCATATATGAGTGAGTACATAACATTTTGTTTTTTTGTGACTGGGTTACCTCACTCAGGTTGAATTCTTCTATTTCCACCCATTTTCCTGTGAATTTTAAGATTCCATTTTTTCCTGCTGAGTAGTACTCCATTGTGTAAGTGTATTATATTTTCTCCATCCATTCTTCAGTTGAGGGGCATCTACGTTGCTTCCAGGTTCTGGCTATTACAAATAACGCTGCTATGAACATTGTTGAGTAGATGTCCTTTTTGTATGAATGTGCATTTTTTAGGTATATGCCTAAGACTGGAATTGCTGGATCTTGTGGTAGACTGATTCCCATTTTCCTGAGGAACCGCCATACTGATTTCCAAAGTGGTTGTACAAGTTTGCACTCCCACCAGCAATGGAGGAGTATTCCCCTTTCTCCACATCCTCTCCAGCATAATATATCATTAATTTTTGTTTCCTTGATGCATATATGATGCTTAATCAGCCCAGGTAATGTTCCACTGCACTCTCAACCTTCAGTGGTTTATTGACACTACAAAAAGGGCAGTTACCCACACAGTGTCAGCATTTGCAGATATGAGAAGCACTGGACATGACATTATACAGAGACTCTGATAGTGATTAATTATCAACAATCTGGAGTATTCTATTTTTTCAATGGTGACATCAAGTTTTTTGCAGTGTCTCATTCACCAGAATGATGTACAAAACTGTCTCTTCAAACATGCCACTGCTGCTGGTGGACGACAGTGATTGGCTGTGTTTCCAGTCTCCTCTCAGAAATTTGTAACAAACATGAACTGAGATAACCATGTCCACTTAATTCCCGGTTCTTGCAATGTGCACCCAAGTGAGATAGAGAGGCTAGAAATTCTCCAGAAGTTCACTCAAGGGCCATGTGCTCAGTGTAAATTCTTGTCCTCATCCCTACTTGTGCACCTGAAACAGCCTGCTTGCTCCTCTAGTCCCTTTCTCTCAAGGTTTTATGGGCTTGATTGGATTCCAAGTTGGGTACATTCTGCACATGCTCCCTAGAGACATTCCCATTGGGCACATATCTCCTTTAGGGATTGTGGGATGGAAGGAGGACAGATGCAAAACTTGCTAAAAGCCTATATGCTTCTGCAATACCATTTCAATTCCCAAAACATTTGTGGAGATGATGCTACTCTCTTTTAGATCCCACCATGGCTCTCCAGTCCCATCATGTGGGCTCCAATTTCTGCAAGCTGGAGGAAAATGAGATCGAGGTGAGCCTTGATTTTGATGACGACACTGAGACAGCAAAAAGTGGCACCTTTGGTAAAGTTTCTCTAAATAGTTCAGACAAACCAAAGAACCAGGGCACCCTCGACTGCAAGGATGATGTGAGCTATCCTTCAGTCTCCAACTATGTTCCTGATAACATCAAAAATGAGAGCCATGGGAGCCACCAAGGGTCTGCACAGCCACAACTGGTGGAGCAAGAGAACATGGCTGCTGCCAGAGTTCCAAAATTACGGCGCAGAAGACCACGGATCCAGTTTGGTCTCACACCCAGGCAGCTGAGTGAACTGGAAGATGTTTTTGAAAAAACTAAGTACCCTGATGAGATCATAAGGTATGTGGTTTGTTTCAGTAGCCATCCCAGCTCCCATCCTTCAGCATCTCATTTGGAGGTATGTTCTCTATACTGTGGCCCCTACCTGTTTTGAGCCCCAAGGCATGGAGGCCTTTACCTGTTTTTTTGCTGTGTATAGGAAGGATGTTTTGTGAGGTCAAAGTCACTATATCCATGCAGTGTTGATATGGATTGATCCTAAAAACTGGTTGATGCCTCTCAATTCCTTCCTTTAGTTTTCTTTTTGTTTATGTTTATTTTCCTCCCCCTCCTTCTTTTTCATGCTCCCCCCCACCTTTTGTAACGGGAATTAAACTCAAGACTTAGTGGTTCCTAAGCAACCCCTCTACTACCATATCATATCTTCCTTGTGTTAATTAGTGTGTTTACTGTAGTAAAACAGATAAATGAAAAGCCACTTTAATACTTTGGAGCTCAGCATCTTTACATATTTTTGTGTTGGTATGTGATCCACCTCCAAAAGTCTCTTTATCTTGCCAAGCTGCAATGCTGTGTTCATCTAACAGCTCCACTCTTCTATTTTATTTCCACAGGAAGGACCTTGCCAGACGCTTATTCCTTGGAGAATCGAAAGTGCGGGTCAGTAAATCTGTAAAGGCTTTGGGCAGGAAACTCTGCTTCAAGACCTGGACCGTTTTCTTGTTGCCATTATGAAAAGAGACCATGGTTGGGAGGTGTCCTTGTCTGTTTTATAATGGCAAACAAGCATTGAATCATGCAGTCTTTCAGAGGTGAAGGTGGAACGAGCGAGTACCCAGTAGCTTATGGCCCTTTCCCATTTATTGGAGGCAGCATGATCTCTTAACTGAAAAAAAAAAAAAACTAAAAAAGCAGAGTACTTATAATCAGTTCGTGAACATCAGATGTATACACAGCATTGCATATTGTAATTTCATACATATAGGAAGACATAAATGTTTACTGGTATGTCTGCAGTGATTAATACTGAAGTCTTGACACGCAGGTCGTTTCAGGGCACTTATGTGTAAGATAATAGTAGGGCTCTAAGTGACCTTAGGGACACTCTGATTGATGTTGTAAGCAGCAGGGTTCAAAAAGGTTCAGTTGCAACAAATACACACTTACTTAAAAGCATGAATTAATTAGGCAAGGGAGAAATTCTCCCAAGAAACACAGTTTTTGAATAACTAGTCTGTGTTTAGTTTAGCGAAGACACTTTATGAGACTTTTTTATGAGAAGACACTTTAAAAGTCCACATGGTTGGCCCTCCACTTTTGTAATCTTGTGGAAAGGTAATGTAGACAGCAACAAAGCAGAATTTTCATGTTCCCCCACGCTGTGTTTTGGCTAACTAAAAACATTGCCAAAATAGTCACTTTGGTGTTTGGATAGGGCTAGGGCTGATAGCTTGGGAACTTTGTGCTAAAATTAAAGAAAAAGAATAACAGTGAATTAGTTTCAGTTCATCTAATAAGGAGAATGTGATCAGGGGAAATGATGCAGTCAAAATGCAGGTTGGAGCTGAGGAGAGGGCTCAGTGCAACATGAGTCTGAGAACCTGAGTTGGGATCCTCAGCACCCAGCTAAGAGCTGTTCAGATGTGTCAGCTCACATTCAGTCATAATCTTGGTTTCAGGAGGCAGAGACTGGGGATCCTTATAGCAATCTAGACTAGCTTAACTGCTGATTGTAGGTTCAGGGACAGACCCCCCCCCACTGTAACTCATGTGGAGAACAAGCTAGGAAGATGCTTGACTCTGATCTCAGTCCTCTGCAAGCACATGGATACACACGCACATCACACACCATCCACATAAAAAGTAAAGGGTGCCAAGCCATGGTCAAGTGAGTTTTCTGTTGAAAAACTTGCAAGCTGAAAAGGCTCCTTTTTGTTTAAAGACTATATTGAAGATGTGGGTTTTGTGGGATTTGGGAAAGGATAGAGCTCACTTGAAGGCAGAGTTGTAGCTATCTTGTTTTCAATGAATTTCTTTCCTTCAGAGAGTAAAGTCTAATGTTTAGATCATGGGATAAAAAGCTGAGGCCATGAGCCCAAAGGAACGGAATACTGCATGTCCAATCAGAAAGGGTAAAGGCAGTGCAGAGTGCTGTTAATGCTAACTTACTTCAGGATGCATCAGGGCAGTCTTGCCATGACATAAACTGGCTACACTACCTGCAGTAGGTTGTGCAGAGCAGCAGTCCCACATAGCAGGCCACCGAGTGCTGGCATCATAACATCAAGCGGTAGAATCTACAGTAGGACCGGGCTCAGGTAAGTGAAGCCGGCGCGGGGGGCGGGAGAAGAGGGGTTTTCCCCAGGATGAAGAGGCAGAGTGAGAGAAAAAGAAAATCTGAAGGTGTGAGGAATTTTTGCCCTCTCAGAGCTGACAGGCACTGCACTGCAGCTCCAGATAGACTGATGCTCTGCAGCTCTAGAGGCTGATGCATTGCAGCTCTAGAGAGATTGATGCACTGAAGCTCTAGAAAGTCTGATGCATTGCAGCTCTAGAAAAACCGATGCAGTTCAGCTATGGAGAGAGCATGAACACAGGACATAAGAGAGGAGAAAACACCCATGTTCTCCTCTTTGCACACTCTTCAGTGTGTCTTTCCCAAAGCCTTACTTCTGATTTCCCCCTTTCCTTTTAGAAACATAATAGATAGGTTTTAGGAATCAAACATGGGGAACTCTGACTTAATGTGAGCCCACATGAGTCAGCCACTGGGGCTTTGTTTGAGTTCATGGAGGAGGCATCATGATGGTAGGCTTGAGTTCTCCTCAGCAAGGCTTCCATTCCTTTGGTTAGTCTTCTTTAGACTATACATCCACATAATAGAAGGTTCCAGGCAGGGAGAGAAAGTACATGGAGTCATAAATGTGCAGTTTGAGGATTTCCCAATAATAGTGAACTAGGAGCCTGAGAGGATGATGGCATCTAATAGGTAACTGTGACTGTATTTCCATAGCTAGCCAATTTATTTAGGAGGGGTGGTTTTGTTAACTGTTCTCCACATTGTGGCAGATCACCTTCCTGAGTAGAGGTTCAACCTTAGGGCTCTGATTTAAGGCTTTGAATGTCTTTGAAGAATAACAGGGCCGAGGATGCTCTTTATGTTGTGCAGGAAGTAGGGCATCAGTACCCTCAAGCTACAGCTTTATTGAGAAGATTGTCTTTGTACTGAGCCCAGAAAACTTAAGAGGGCATGGAAGAGGGGGGGGGGGATGGCCATAGGTGACATGGTCTCACTTATCCCCAAACTCCATGGAATCAGGGGAGTCCCAAGATATCTGAATGATTTGTTTGAATTGGTCTCATTTCCCTAACTCCATAGGTGACAATATCACAGATCTGTTCAGGCGTTCCTTGGAGTAGCATTAGCTGTTCCAAGGAAATTTGAGAGGGACTTTTGTTTGTTTGTTTGATCTGTGGATAAGATATAGCTTTGCACTCTCTTTAGGCAAGTGTGCTTCCTAAGAAGCCATCCAGCTATGACTGGTGGGCTGAAAGCATGGGAGCAGAATTGTTTACCTGTGAAGAATTATGTATTTTGGTAAAAAATGCCAGTAGAGATCCAGAAACACGGAAGGCTGCTTCTGAAAGACAGATAGATGGAGAGGAAGTTGCAGGGAAAAGGGGGGATAAGGAAGAGAAAGTGGAACAGGAGGAAGAGGAGGAGGAGGAGGTGGAGGAAGAGGAGGAGGAAGAGGAGGAGGAGGAGGAGACTGAGAATAAAAGAGATTGTTTTCTGACACTTAGGGGGAAGGTAGGAAGTGGATAACCCACTATCTTAAGTGATAAATCTCAAAACATCCTTTGTCCTTCCTGAGATTGGCCTCTTGTGAGGAGGCACTGTTGGGAGTTAGGATTTAACTGTTCATATAGGGCATCACAAGTGTTCAAGACAGGCTGCAAACAGTATTGTTGAAGTATGTCAATTTCATTTTTATTTTTGATCTTTTTGTACAGAAAATAGTAATGTCTGGCAGGGTCATGGTCGGGGCAGACATCAGGACTTTTCTCAAGGCTTTAAAGCCCATCAGTTCAGTCTCAGTTCACCCCAAAGGCTGCATAACTCCTGGTGCCTGCTTAGAGAGGCTTGGCTGGCTCAGTAAATCCAGTTACTCATAGGC